CCCGGCTAGGAGGAAACCAGGCCAGTGTGGAGTCCGGGACTCCAAGAAAAGGTAGCATTGCAAAGAGGAGTGAGTGCTCTACTGTTCACACACTGCTGAGAAATTGATGAGGTGAGAACAGGAGGCAGACCTCTTGGATGCACCAACAGGAGATCACTGGTGACTTGGACAAGAGCAGTTTCAATGGAGTGGCAGAGACAAAAACTTGGCTGGAGCAGGCTAAGAGGGAGGTGAAGATACAGAGAGGCAGCCAGCAGGGACAACCAGTCCAAGGAGGAGTGTGGAAAAAGGAGGAGAAAGTGGAGCAGAAGCTGAAGAGGGTGTAGGGTCAAGGTAGCATTTGTTTTGAAATGAGAGAGATCATAGCATGTTTATGTGCTGAAGGCAATGGCCTGGTAGAGAGAGAGAGTTGCATAGTGCAGCAAAGAGAAAGATGATTTCAGGCAAAGTCTTGAGTAAGTGAAGGGATAAGGTATACAAAATGAAGGGATTGGCCAGGGATGCAAGAGGAGACCATCCATCCATCCATCCATCCACCCATCCATCCATCCATCCATCCTCCCATCTACCCATCCATCCATCCATCTATCCATCCATCCATCCATCCATCCATCCTCCCATCTACCCATCCATCCATCCATCCATCCATCCATCCATCCACCCACCCACCCGTCCATCCGTCCGTCCATCCATCCATCCATCCATCCATCCACCCACCCATCCATCCATCCATCCATCCATCCGTCCATCCATCCATCCATCCACCCATCCATCCATCCACCCATCCATCCATCCACCCATCCATCCATGCATCCATCCATCCATCCACCTATCCATCCATCCATCCATCCATCCATCCACCTATCCATCCATCCATCCAACCATCTATCTACCCATCCACCCATCCATCCATCCACCCATTCATCTACCCATCCATCTGTCCATCCATCCATTGTCCGTTCATCCATCCATCCATCCATTCATCTGTCCATCCATCCCTTCATCCATCTGTCCATCCATCCAATCCATCCATCCATCCATCCATCTGTCCATCTATCTATCCATCCATCCATCCATCAATCCATCTGTCCATCTGCCCATCTGTCCATCTGTCTGTGTGTCCATCCATCCATCCATCCATCCATCCATCCATCTATCCATGCATGCATCTGTTGTGAGAAAAGAAGGCAGCAGCGGGCATAGATGCAGGCATCTTGGGAGATCTGACAGTGAGAAGGCAGTTACATTCCAGCTGATGACATTTAGTTTCTCAGCAAAGTAAGAAGCAAGATCTTTAACAGCCAGAAACTAAGGGAAGGTGTTGAGGGTTGGAGAAGATGTGGAATGCTCATCTGGGGAGTGGGGGCATGGATTTAGTAGAGAAATATAGTAAGATTGCTGGGCAAACTGAGCGCCCACATGAAGTTTGTGGCCAGAAGAGTCAGGTGCAGCTACTCAGCATGGCTGTGAGTTTTCCCAGCAATACTCAGCTACTCAGTGCAGGTGCAGGGTGTTGGGTTTAAGCAGAGTGGAGGCTGTGTCAGGAGATTCCAACTGAAGGGAAAGGAGCAAGAGAGGAGACGGCTTCTGCAAATGGGTGATTCTTGTCAGAGTCCACAGAATCGAGCTGGAGAAGGGAGTTGCAGGTAGTGAAAGCAGACAAGTTCAAAGGCAGTGAGGTCCCAAAGGGGACACGACAGTGAACGGAGATAACAGAATAAATCAGTTGAGGACCCAGGAAGGGGTGGTCAGACAGCAGGGGGTTCAGAAGTGCTGAGGCATAAGCCATGGCCATGGGAGTGGGAGGCAGAGGTAGCATAGTGAGAGGTGGAGAGTGAGGAGGCCAAAGACCAAGAGGTGCTGGGTAGACATCTACATGGATGACCTTCCTTGTCCCCCAACTCTTAAACAGCTCCCCCTACTACCACTACCCCTTCATCTGCCTTTCCTTTCATAGCTCCTCTGCCTAACATTACATTACGTAGGGCTGGCTCATTGGTTAACTATCCTTGCTGCCATCAGAATGTAAACCTCTGAGGGCAGGGACATTTTCTCTCTGGTCCATGCTTATAAACTCTATTCTAAGAACAGTACCTGGTATACATTATGTGCTCAGGAACGTCTGCTGGACAAAAGAATGGCTGAATGTTAAGGTTTAGGAAAAGCAGAGGAGTGGTGGTGGAGAGGAAGACCGTGAGCCAGGCAGCAAAATCTGCAAATGAACAGGAGGGGGCTAGAGTGTGGTAAATACTAGAAGGGATGGTGGCTGGGCTGATGTCAGGGCATAGCCACAAAGGAGATGAAGACTTAGCGGAAGGAGGAAGTGGGAGAAACCTAGAGGTGGCCATGAAGGCAAGGATGACGACTCGCCGCCTCCAGCCACACTGGTGTCAGCTATGTGGAAGAAGAAAAACAGCCAAGACGGGAGGTGGCGGCAAGGAAGCTGTATGTGGGGGTCGGGCAGGTTTCCAATAGAACAGGACGGTGAAAGCAATGTTCAAAGGGAGGGGTGAGTGTATGAGGAGATTTTGCTGATGATAAACCATAAGTTCCTGAAAACAGAGTGAAAGGATCCCAGGGATTGGGTCAGATTAGAGGAATAGAGCTATATGGGGGTGAAAATCTTGGGGACAAAGGATGACCAAGAGTCTCAGGCTTCTGGGGGTGACTGGGGGCACAAGGCCACAGGGCATGATGGGACTATCCTGAAGGTCTCTCTCGGGCAGGTGGGTACCCCTGCTCATGCCAGCTCCTCCTCCAGCCAGGGCCCATGGGCCATGGACCACAGTGAGGCAGTGATATTGGGGTAGGAGGGGGCTTGTCAGACACCGAGTGTCTGGGGTGGGAGGAGAGAGTAGCTTTGGGTACTGCAAGGAAAGTCAAGCAGGCACTCCAGAGACTAGATTGTCATCCCAATCTTTCCTACCAACCATGATGCAACCTTGGCAAAATAGGCAGATTTTCCTTACCTATAACATGGAGAGGAGAGGAGAGGAGGCCTGTCTTAGCTCTGCAAACCCTGGCCTCTGTCTTCTTTCCTTGACTTCTAGCTCCTGTCTCTTCAGCCCTTCCAACTTGTAGCTAAGCCTGGCTTTATATTAACCACTCTCCTGCTGTCAGCACAGCTGAGAGGCATAGCCAAGGCCTGCCCTTTTCCTCCTCCCTGGCTCCAGAATGATCCTTGCACTGTCCCATGCCACTCTGATCCTGAGCAGCTAAGGGGACCGGCTGACACTTCTTTGGGCGTGGAAATGAACATCAGCCACAATTAGGGAGAGGAACCTGCCCACAGAGAGGGCAAACTCCATCAGGGGTAAGTGACAAAGCCACAGACTGACATGAAGAGGCTTCCCAGGCCCTCTGGAAGGGAGTGAAGCCAGCAGCCTGGCTCCTGGGATGAGCTGTCGCCTATTCAGCAGCTCCATGGGACTGGAAGTGGGCCCAGGGAGCCAGCCAGAAGGAGGCAGTGGCCAGAGGCTTGATTTGTGGCCCGGGACTAGGATGCAGGGAGCCGGGTTCTCATCAAGGCTTCAGCCACAGCAAGTGTGTGATTCTCCCTGGCCCTCTAGGTGGGGATTATAATAACTACCTTGCTTACTCCAGTTGCTGGAGGCCAATATTCACTGAGCATTCATCATGAGTCAGGCATTAAGTCATCCTCACAATGGCCCTAGAAATTAGACTCTACTATTTCACCCCTAGGGAGGAGGTGAGAGACACATATAACATCTAAGTCACTTGCCTAACACTCCATAGTCTGTAAGTGGCAGGGCCAGGATCTTAACTTTAAACCACACATTAGAGACTTATTATCATTTAGGTTCCTCAACAACCTGTGATCCAGGTATTACCAACTACAAATTACTATCTACAAAAAATTACCATTTACAAACATGGCAATGGCTCAGAAGTGTTCATTTATTTGCCCAGGGTCACTTGGCTGACTGTAGCAGAATTAGGATTTGAACCCAGACCCAACTTCAGAGCCAATCCTCTTCTCATTGGGTTGCACCCCCAGCATCAGCACAGGGACAGTTCCTCAGACTGGCTGCCCAAGGCCCCATCTGTGAAAACAGGAGAGGAAATGGCAGCCTAACTCCAGGCAGGGCCCGGGCTCAGCAAGGGGGTCTACAGGGCTGAAGAGGCAGCTGGCCAGAGATTCCACAAGAAGCATTTTGTTGACACGTCTTCATCACTCTGGAATTCGGGCAACAATATTTACCCCTTCTGAAATTCGCCCAGAGGAAGTGGATTTTATGACTCATATGAAGAGTGAGACCTGTCTATAGCTAAGTCTTCTTTAAGAACAATACCAGCTGAGGGGCTGTTTAGATTCCAGCTTCTTTTGAGAATCTCTGAAGATGATTAAGTCATTGTCAGCTGGTAAGGGTTGGCCTCACCACTTCTCATGTTGAATCATTAAGGCATGAATCCTTCAGTGAATCCTTTTTGGGTATCATTTAGTGAGGAAGGAAGTGGGGACAAAGCTTTGTAAGGCACTACTTGCCAGTAGTCGCGGGATGGGAAGGAGAAGTGCGCAGACTTCTAAGCCTTTCTTCACCTGGGGATGTGCACTGACGATGCACATACTGGGCTGTGAAGGCCCAAATTTAGGACAGGGAGTTAGAACCACCCACATTGAAAGTCTAAGGACCTGTTTCATCTTGCAGCCCCACCACACTCCCACCAATAACACAAATACTATAGTACAAATACTATGCTCAGTGAATGTTGATCAGCCTCATAAACGGTTCAGGGAGGGCTTTGGGGAGAAAAAAGGTGGAGTTTCACCTGGGCCTTGTAGGGAATTTAGGAGGCGCAGAGGTGGGGAAAGGAACAAGGCTAAGACAGCAGCATGAGCAGGGCATGTGGTGCACTGGGGGAGGGTGTCATGCGAGATGAGATTAGACAACTCCAGACCCTGGAGTCCTTTACTCCAGGGACATGGTGACCACGTGGTGATCTGCATGTCCTGTTCTCTACACCTTGACTTCTCTTAGGCCCAGAACCATATCCTGCTCCACAAGCCTCACCCCTGGCAAGGAGTTGCACCTGCTCAGAGAGAAAACCTTTTCAAACTGGCACAAAAGCACTGGAGAGATGGGCAAGGCCTCCACTTGATGATCTGGCTCATCCATTTGCAGCTCTGACCATGCTAATAGCTGTCTGCAGTGATGGAAACCTTCTCCAGCTGTGCTGTCCTCTAGAATAGCACTAGCCACCTGTGGCTACTGAGCACTTCAAATGTGGCTGCAGAGACGGAGGATCTGTATGTTAAATTGCATTTCATCATAATTTAATTTTAAACAACCACATGTGGCTGGTTTCTGTACTGGGCAGTGCAGTACATCTACCTGGCCATGTATGGTAAGCTCCATAAGAGGCCAATTGTGCCTGGTTTACTTATAGGCTTATCCTCAGCACCTGCACCAGCCTAGAACATGATTGGCACTCTATTAATTAAAAGTTGCCAGGTAAATGAATTGGTGGATTCTCTTGTTTCCTCCACTATGCTACAACCTCCTTAAGAGCAGAGATGGTATCTTTTAAAAAGAAAAAATTCTGGTCAAAAACACGTAAGATCTACCACTTTCACCATTGTTAAGTGTCTAATTCAGGAGTATTAACTATACTCACATTGTGATACAACAAAAGAGCGTGTCTTTTTATATTCTTAGGACCTAGCACAGTGTCTGGCACATAACCTTTGTAAGTATTGGCTGAAGAATTGCAGAGTACATGCCTTTGCAAAGGCCTGAACAGAGGTTCAGTGCTGTCCATTACCACTCTCTCACAGGTCCACTGGGGCTTTACAGACAGCCTTGAATGAAAGCTCTTGAGTCTAGAGAAGTGGGTTACAAAGGTTTACAAAATAATCTATTAAGAGTAGCAAATATAGGCCGGGCGCGGTGACTCACACCTGTAATCCCAGCACTTTGGGAGGCTGAGGCGGGTGGATCACTTGAGGTCAGGAGTTTGAGACCAGCCTGGCCAATACGGTGAAACCTCGCCTCTACCAAAAATATACAAAAATTATCCAGGTGTGGTGGCATATGCCTGTAATCCCAGCTACTTGGGAGGCTGAGGCACAAGCATCTCTTGTACCCGGGAGGCAGACATTGCAGTCAGCCGAGATTGCACCACTGCACTTCAGCCTGGGCGACAGAGCAAGACACCATCTCGAAAAAAGAAAAAAAAAAACAACAAAAATAAAGCTTAATCCACATGGCATGTGGATTGGCAGTAGCACATAAATATGATAAGTATACAAATATTTGGAAGTGCTGCCTGTCCATTTGTTGCTGATTACGTGGAGATCACTTGTCTAGGACCCTGGGATAGACTGATGTTTCTAACTCTGCTGAACAGGGTCTCTCCCAGCCTCCAGACTCTTTCTTCCTTCAGTTCAGGGAACCCTCAGTACACAGTAAGAATGAAGAGGTTGGCCGGGCGCAGTGGCTCAAGCCTGTAATCCCAGCACTGTGGGAGGCCGAGGCGGGTGGATCACGAGGTCAAGAGATCGAGACCATCCTGGTCAACATGGTGAAACCCCGTCTCTACTAAAAATACAAAAAATTAGCTGGGCATGGTGGCGCATGCCTGTAATCCCAGCTACTCAGGAGGCTGAGGCAGGAGAATTGCCCGAACCCAGGAGGTAGAGGTTGCGGTGAGCCGAGGTCGCGCCATTGCACTCCAGCCTGGGTAACAAAAGCGAAACTCCGTCTCAAAAAAAAAAAAAAGAATGAAGAGGTTGCAGGTATGAGCTTGAGGAGGCCTGAACAAGGGAGAGAAGCCCTGCCAGGGCATTCTGAGGACTGTGAAGAAGTGGAATATTGGCCACAGGCATCTAGGTAGTTGAATCATATCCATTTCGGAGCACACTCCAAGCAGAGGAGAAAAAACTCACATTCTGGCCCCCAGATACATTTCCAGTCTGTTAGTCATAAAATTGTGACACACCACCAGGGGTGCCCAAAGGGGTTTGTGAATCAAGATAGTTTGAGGAGAATCCCTTTTCTGATCCTCAGTTTTCTACGCTCTTTTTCCTAAAGGCGATCTCCCTGAAAAGGTATCTAAGACAAGGCATCCCCTTTCCTACATGCTAGGGAAAAGAGTTTTGCAAGAGAAAGCTGCCCCTCTCACCCATGTGACCCCCACTCTGGGGCACTGCCCTAGGGGTAGAAATCTCCAAGGCATCAAACACAGTGACTTCTGGGGGTCAAGTGACCGGGGAGCAAGTCTTTCTGCAAGTCAAGTGGTTTCGCGCTCTGCTTTCAACAAAATTGCAAGAGGCACTAATCAAATTGTCAGCGGATCATAAAAAAACATTTTGATAATAACGTTATTAGGCATATAACTTGGAAGAAGTTCAAAGAACTGAATGACATTCTCCTAACAAACTCATTGGCTTCCACTTATTTATTTATTTATGTGGTCAGTGTTTCCCAATGTTTAAACCTACAAAGACAAAACATAGGAATAAAATTCATGTTGACCCTTGTGTGAGTCTAGCAATAAGTCACCCACATACACGTACGTTAACTGGGAAGAAAACCTGCCCCAACCATTTTATGAAGAGATGCATTTCCAATAAAAATTTACTTTTTATGTTTAATAGTTGTTTATCAAATTTTATAATTATTTACATTGCTCTGATCAATTGAGTATTAACTAGTCTAACACTAAAATCATAACAAATAAATTTAATGCTCAGCTTTTAGAACAGAGGAGGTTTTAATCTTTAAATTTTATTTAATACAATAATCAATCAAAGATTTTATTTTTTCTTTTCTTTTTTGAGACAAGTTCTCCCTTGGTCACCCAGGCTAGAGTGCAGCGGCGCAATCACATATCACTGCAGTCTTGACCTCCTGGGCTCATTCTCCTGCCTCATCCTCCCAAAGTACTGGGATTACAGTCATGAACCACCATGCCTAGCCAGTAAAAGAGTTTCAAGCATAAAAAATAAATACAGGCTGGGCACTGTGGCTCACACATGTAATCTTAACACTTTAGGGGGCCGAGGTGGGCGGATCACTTGAGCCTAGGAATTGGGAGACCAGCCTGAGCAATATGGTAAAACCGTGTCTCTACAAAAAATACAAAACTTAGCCAAGCATGGTGGTGCGTGCCTGTAGTTCCAGCTACTCAGAAGGCTGAGGTGGGAGAATCACCTGAGCCCAGGAGGTCGAGGCTGCAGTGAATCAGGATCACCACTGCACTCCAGCCTGGGCAACAGAGCAAAACTCAGTCTCAAAAAAACCCTTACAGTAGCATAAAATATGTAACAGGAGTGGAATGGACATACAAGTTCTTGGAGAGAATGAAATAATGTAAATTGCTAAGCTGTTTAATTAGAGTTTGTTCCCCTATTTTTTTAAATGAATAATGTTGGACACAGAATTGCTCTGGGATTTAGATTCCATTGAACATTTAAAAGAAAGATAAAATTTTTATTGGAAAATGTCAATATTCATTCTCTTTGAATTTTCATGATTATAAAATATAATAAACGCATATAGAAAGTGAAAAGTTAATATTCATAAAATGCTAAAAAGGATATCCTTTGGAACGATTTCAATTTGTGAAGGAAAATTTCAAATGCCAACCTAAATACAAGAGGGTAGGTCATGTAAAAAAATTCTTTAAGGGGCTTTGAAGGTGGCTGTCTGGGGAGATAGGGTCTTGTGTCTCCAGTGCCCTCTCTCACCCCTGAGGTACTGGGTGGGCCTCTGGAGGTGCATCTGCCTCTACAGGGAACCTTCAATGCAGCGAAAANAAACACGCAAAACACAAAAAACCCTCACAGCGTGCCCTGCCCTTGAGCTCTGAAGGCACCGTCCTGCCAGCCCCACTCCTGCTCTCAGTCCCCTCCTCAGGCCTAAGCCTCCCCAGTCCCCCCACCCCACTGCCCCGCCCGCAGTCCACCCCACTGTCACCTCCCAGCCCTGGCCAGCCCCCGAGTAAATAAACCAGCGGGCAGGGACCCAGACAATGGGCCTTGGCAAGGAGTTAATGGGCTGGGCCTCTCGCTAGCCGAGTGTGACCAGAGCTGGCAGGGGGCCTGGCCTGGCGCCAGCATCCATTACGACCAGACGGAGCCAGGGCAGACTTGGCACGAACAGGCCCCACAGCTGGCAGATTCAGTCACCCTGGCCACAAGGGCACGACGCCTGCCCTGGGGACCCGCTGCCACCACGGCTGCACTCCCTGCCACCTTCTTCGCTGCCAGTGTGGCACAACCGCCTGTCGGCACTCGGCCCCTAGGCCCTGACTTTTGGTCCTCCCCAGGGGACTGTCCCTGGTCAGGCCTCTTCCTGTCCCACGCTGCCTCTGAGGCTGCTCTGTGGCCCCACAGACTGGGGGCAGAGCAGGAGTGGGGTGGGGGGAGGCTGAGGGTTGGGCTAGGGGACGCAGCTGTGACCCACCCACCACTCAAGGACAGAGGGAGGCTGCTGAGCCAGGCTGGTGTTGGTCAGCAGGAAGAACAGGTGAAGCGAGCCTCGTTTCTGGTCTCCAGATGGAGGACAGGGCCTTTCTTTCCCTGTTCCTCGGAAACCTTCGTGGGCCTGGGCTCTACTCCGGCTCAGCAGCCCCACCCCGCAGTGGGGCTGGCAGGAGGGCAGGGACCACCTGAGGGCTCGCTGAGTCCCTGCTACGAAGCTATTCGAGTTAGGGTTTGCAGGCAAGGCTTGCCTGGGGGAAAGGGCATTTCTTGTTTTTTGGGTTTACTGCTCCTCCCAGGCTCTCTGGGTCCCTGTCCCCTGGGCGAGGGCTGTGGCACAATGTCCTCAGGGCAGGGCAAGCCTCCATGTGGAGCTGATGGCTCCTCCAACACTGAGGAGCTCCACTGACTCAGTCTTGCTGAGCAGAGGTTTCTTTGGCTTGACTGCTGGGAGACAGATCATTCCCCTGGGCAGAGTTTCCACATTTTAGGGGACGGTCAGTATCTCTTTCCCCTGAGAGGTCCGGAAAACCCCACAGCGGAGAAAAAACACCAGGCCACATACCCAGAGTGACAGCCCCTGCTCTATGAGGTCACAGGTGGAGAGCGGGGGAGGTCCTGAGGGCTGTGGCTGCTGGAGCCAGCTCCACTGGGCCTGATAATCCCTGCAGATGGAGGCGGCTTCCCGTCCCAGTAGGCAGCAGTAATCCCCACCCAGCCCCACTTCCCCGGGGAGAGAAGCTGACACAGGGGTGAAGAGGCACTGGAAACACGGGAGAGCAGAGGAACGGCAGCTGAGGCTCTCGCCCCGCGCCAGCTCCTGCGCCTGCCCTCAGCTTCCCTTGTCCCCCTCTGGAAGCTCTCGGATCTTTATTTTTTTTTGTGAGTTCTCTTCCCAGAGAAAGTTCTAATACCTGTAGAATACCAACTGACTAACTGAGCAGGGTGGTTTGGGGCTTGGTGGGGTGGGGAAATGTGTGGCCCACCAAAGAACACTGACCCAACAACCCTGTGGAGCTGCGGTCTCCAGACTGAAAGAGGATACAGTGTCAGCTGACAAACAAAGCTGGTCTGGAGCCGGGCACGCGGCTCACTCCTGGTTCCCAACATTTTGGGAGGCCAAGGCTGGAGGACCATTTGAGCCTAGGAGTTCAAGATCAGCCTGGACAATATAAGGAGACCCCATATTTACAAGAATTTAAAAAATTAGCCAGGCTAATGGTGGTGAGCACCTGTAGACCCAACTACTTGAGGGGCCGAGGTGGGAGGGTTGCTTGAACCAGGGGGCAGAGGTTGCAATGAGCCGAGATTGCGCCACTGCACTCCAGCCTGGGCAACAGAGCAAGACCCTATGTCAGAAATTAAAAAATTAAAAACCAGCCTAGACTAAGGATGTGAAATGTCCAGACATTTTGAACAGATAAGAGGGATGGTGGGAGGGAAGAATTTTTATAAAATAAATATTGACATTTGGTGGGGAAATATAAATATATACAAATCTTTTTTTCCTCTACAATACTTACTTTTTTAGTGTCCTTGAAGGACCTACAAAAATCACTTAGGTCATTTAGGCACATAAAATGTGTTATGCGTAACTTGGCTCATAAAATTGTCACCTTGGTTATATGGTTTCAGACATGTGAAGACCTGTGTAACAGTTAAAAGTATGCTGTTAATGGAAGAGTCTTTATTTTTCCCCAATATTTTTTAAAACCAAAAGACTCCTCAAGAAGTCTGATTTTATTTTTTTTTTAATTTTTATTTTTTGACCATGGCCTTCGTCTGGACTCATATATCCTTTTGATGGCCTTCTGTGAAGTAACTTCTAGACCCTTCAACTAGATAACCTCACACCTTGACCTGAGCAGTCAGTTGCACAGGGTGCAGCGCTCAGAAGGGCCTTGCATTTGGTTTAAAACTCTGTTGCCATCACAAATATATATATATGTCTTTTTCAAGATAGAATCTTGCTCTGTCACCCAGGCTGGAGTGCAGTCGCATGTTCTTGGCTCACACAGCCTCTACCTCCTGGGTTCAGGCTATCCTCCCACCTCAGCCTCTCAAGTGGCTGGAACTCACAGGCATGCACCACCACCCCCCTGATTTTTTATATTTTATCCTATTTTATTTGTTTTTTTGAGACAAGGTCTCTGCTCTGGAGTGCAATGGTGTGATCTTGGCTCACTGTAACCTCTGCTTCCTGGGCTCAAGCAATCCTCCCACCTCAGCCTCCTGAGTAGCTAGGACTACAGGCATGCCCCACTGTGCCCAGCCTAATTTTTTATTTTTTGTAGAGACAACCTCTCACTACATTGCCCAGGCTGGTCTTAAACTCCTGGGCTCAAGTGCTCCTCCTACCTCAGCCTCCCAAAGTGCTAGGATTACAGGCACGTGACACCACACCCAGCAAATTCTTCATAATTTTTTAACAAGGGGCCTGTACTTTCACTTTGCACTGATCCCCACAAGACAAGTAGCCAGGTCTCGTCATACCCCCACCTGAAGCCCACGCTGACCTTCCCTGGTCCTCGGAGCTTGTCGGTTGGTCTCACCAGTGTCATCTCTCCAGGATAAAGAGGCCCTTGCCCTTTCGTAACTCCTGCTTGTTCCCTTCAGGGTCCTTCATGCCCAGCCTCAAGCCTCCCCTGTCCCTGGCCAGCTCATCAGCATCTCCTTACAGGTCCCTGGGGACCACTGGGAACACAACAAAATGCAGCCTATTCCCCTGTGGCTGTCAGTAGGGGAGGCGTCAAGGTCTGCTCCTCACCCCAGCTGGTGTGCCCCTTGGGGAGACATGCCTCATGGAGCGGGAAGCCTTCAAAGAGCCGGTGCCTTCCCGGCCATTCCCTTTGCATCCTGATCCAGTCCAATGATGTTTTTGCAATTTTCCTGTCAGCTTGGTGGGAAAAGTTCAAAGAGACTCTGTCTTCCTTTCTGGCTTCCTCTCCAGACGGCGCAGCTTTCTCTCAGCGGCTCCCCTGCCCCACCTCTCTCGAGGAAATCAGTCTTTTTCCTCTCCCTCACACCCAAAAAGGTTCATTCCTGAGTATTATCCTGAAATCAAGCCACGGCAGGCGGTGGGGGAGCTCAGGCACAAGGTATGTCGGAAGTCGGCCAACCGCCTGGCTTGGGGCCTAACCACCAGTGTCACCTGTGCAGGTGGACTGTCCGGAGGATCCGGGAGGGAGACAGGGAGAG